TGAAGAAATGTCATGATCACTAGCCATTAGAGAGATGCAAATCAAAACAACAATGAGATATCATCTCACACCAGCAATAAAAGCAAAGATCAAAAAAGGAGAGGACAATAAATTCTGGCGAGAATGTGGAAAGACTGGGACCCTCCTACATTGTTGGTGGGCCTGCAAAATGGTCCAAACTCTCTGGAAAGCAATATGGCGCTTCTTCAGAAGGTTGGAAATAAAAATACCTTATAATCCAGTGATTCCTCTACTTGGTATTACCCAAAAGAAATACGAGCCATAACATGAGTAGATATATGCACACCAATGTTCACAGCAGCACTATTTACAATAGCAGAAAGATGGAGACAGCCTAAGTGCCTATCAACTGAAGAATGGATAAATAAACTGTGGTAATATAAACAATGGAATACTATGCTACCTTGAAAAATAACAAGGAGGCTGCAAGCCACTGCATAACATGGATGAACCTTGAGGACATTATGTTGAGTGAAAGTAGTCAGTCACAAAAAGAGAAATACTTCATAGGACCACTACTGTAAAAGACTAAGAAAAAGAACTCATAGTAAAGGGGGCGGGAGGATTCTTTTCTGGCTACTGGAATGCAGTGAGTGGGGTGAGGGGAGGGAGGTAAACGTGGAGCCACAGGGTAGGGAGTAGACAGGATAGTTTGGGTGCTAGGGAGGGGAGCAATATACAAGAAAGGGGAGGGGATTGGAAGAACAAAGTGGATGAGAGAACAATTAGGCATGTTTTTGCATGGGCTAAGTGGGACAGAGGTAAAGAATGATATATGCACAACTTTGGAACAATAGGGCTCTGGGATACAGGAATTGAGACATGGTTGGAATGGGGTAAAGTGGGGAAATATTGTTAAGATGCTTGGCTGTCTTTTGAATCTTGGTTTCCCTGGCATACCATTATGAAATAGACACTGGAGGGGCAGAGAAAGGAATAGCCAGAAATATCACCACAGAAAACTTGTAAGTCTGTCTTCTGCCTATAACTGATTGGAATACCAAAATAGGGCTGCAGTCCAGTGAAGGAGGCTTCCTGTGGAGCCTTTGCATTACATAAGACTATAGGTGGAATCCTGAACAGCATCCAGAATCTTCAGAGGAGGGAAATTTCCACTTGAAAGGACAAGCAGACCAGCCTGGAGTGGCTAGAAGAACAGAAG